CAGTAACTCTTGTGCACTCTATAACACTTCTATAATATAACTTTTAATTGTGTAAAGTATTCTGTTGCACGATCATGTAATTTTTTCAAAGGCCCCCTCTTACTGGAAAATTAGGTTGCTTCCTGTTTGTTTTTTTGTTATTAACAGTGCTGAGATAAACATCCTTACAACTTTGGAGAGAGTAAAATATGGTAGCTTCATTCATAGACTCTGGAGACAATATGTCTGTATTCAATCTTTTATTATCTGTAAAACTTTGAGCAGGTCACCTGGTTCTTGATTTTTTTTTATTTTTATTTTTATCTGACACAGGGAAAACAATGGTACCTATTCCACGTAGGCCCCTGAGACTTATTTCATCTCAAGTGCTCAGAATAGAGTCTTTGAAAACACTTCAGTATTATTAATGAGTTAGATATTCAGCTATTATGAGTTGTTAGTGTCTTTACATATGTATATACTCATTTCTTTGAGAAAAATTCCCCGAAGAGGAATTGCTAGACAGAAGGCTTTCAAAATACTTTGCCAGAGTAAAGTATATAAAAGTCTCTAAAAAGGATGTGGTTATTTACTCTCCTGTAGTACTGTTTAAGAGTGCTGGTTTCTACATGGTGGGAAAGGTTAGCATTGTCACTGTATTGGTCTTGACATTATAATTATCCTACTCATGACTCAGGTTGCACAAATTTTCACAGTTTATCATCCTTGAAGTCAGAGAGCATCCAACCATCATTGTCAACCAGGTGACTTTCATGAAGTGTTTGTACAAAACTTTCTGTTGACAACTGCTAAGATCAAGAAAGAGTGTCAGTGTGTCTTAACATCTATGAAATTGAATTTCACTGGGAAGATATGAAACAGGCAAACATAAATAAAAATTGTGATCTAAGTACAAAATAAGTAAGGGAAAATATATTACATCTTAAATTGGATTTCAAAAATGTGCCTAAAGGATAGAGGTTGATGGACTATTTTTGGAACACTGGGAAGGATTGACAGAGGGAGAGGACAGGTCTACTATCTCTACTTAATACAGTTCTACTTCTTTCTTTTTGTTATGCATACAGGTATAAAAGATGATAATTATTGCAATTGCATACAAGTCCATGATGATATTCATGGACATTTTGGCTGTTACATGCATTATTTTCTCTGAGCGTAATGCCTTCAGCAGACCTCACCCCCTCACACCCCTACTTCCTTTATCTAAATATGGTACACTCAGCATTTAGGACTCCGCTTAGGCATCATTTTAGCTGAGAAGGCTTTCCTGATGCACCAACAGTGGTTAAGTATCATTGCTGTGTTTCCCATTGTGTCTCATCCATATCCTTCCCTGTGTAATAAAATACACAGTATTTTATTACTTAACAATGTAATGTCTGTTCCATTAAACTGAAAGCTTCTAGAGATGTAGTGTATCGTTGTCTGTTGAACCATAGGTGAAGCTCCTTATCTGGCACATTGCAGGTACTTAATAGATTTCAACTGAATAAATCTCAGCTCAGCCAATGAATGTGACCTGTGTTTTCTGGGGTCTTTGGAAGTTGCAGCCCTAAGGGTTCCAGTGTGAGTTCATTGTTTTGGCAGAATCCAATGCTTTACAATTTTTCACTAAGGGTTGGAGCATGGATTATGTAATTCTGATTCTACACAGTAGTTTAAAATTCCTTTTATTTCTGACCTATTATGAGAGCTTATTAGAGCAAGCTGTCTGTGCCTGTCTGAGACTCTCATTAAGTTGTCTCTAGAAACATCTGCATGAATCTGGGCATATTGCATCTGAGAGCCCATTTCCAGCTGTTAGCACAGTAAGAGCTGAAACCAGAAGCTGAAAATGAGTCATCATTCACTAGCATTTAGGCTCCTTTCAACTTAATGTGAAACAAAATTTTGTTCCTTTACTTCTTTTTCCCTTTAGGATCTTCCAGCTCTTTCCTTGTTATCTAAGTTTTTCTAGCTGTCTGAGAGTAACCAGCCAGTCACTTTCTCTTGTAGAGCAGAGAAGAAGATCCTGCCCCTTGAGATTAAAGTCTTAACAAAAAGATGTCAGATTGTTTGAATTTAGACTTTCTCTAAACTCTCTGTTCAAACATAGTGTGTGAACTTAGGATAATTGGCCAAATTCTGAACTAACATAAAGAGCAAATTCTGCTTCTTGTCTAGACAAAGTCAGCACACCCTGGAACTTTTAGGAATTAGGGAAGAAAGCTGGCTTTTTAAGCTGTAGACTGTGAAACTCACTGGAATACATTTAAGAATGAGTGTTTTGAAGTAGTTAACTACAACATCTGAAGAAAGGAAAGGAAGTCACAGAGATGCCTGAATCCAACCCAGGCTTCTGTGTCCTCCCTGCTCTACTTCCTGACTATTTGTCTGTAAACTTCTCTGGGTGGATTTTCACCCTCAGAATAGCTCATATTGATGTACAGTATTCACACTGTGAGGTCTGTGTATCAGTGGCTTTTCAGGAAAACACAGCCCAAAGCAGGGAAGCTGTCACTTCAAAGCATGCCAGAGTGCTTAGATATAGCCGAGAAATTAACCATGTCGGCGTGACAATATTTCTTTAAAAGGCCCCGACTCTTTTTTCTATGTTGATAATTATCAATTGCTGCTATAGACTCATTTCTATCATGAGGACATGTCTTAAGGAAGTGTGTGTGTGTGTGTGTGTGTGTGTGTGTGTAATCCTAAGAAAATAGAGCTGGAACTAGTCTCCATCTGACTGCTTTTCTGGGAAATTGTTTAATGGGACATAGAAAAGGGTCATGAAGCAGAGGAGAGACAAGTTCTGTCCCCTCACTGCTTCTTTCTACCACTCTGCTGTTATAAAACATGTTCTATAAAATGTGTGTGTCCAGAGCTCACTCTTATCATAATGCCACAGTGGAAAATAACTAGACTCAACTAATACAATTTTTTAAAGTGCTTTTGACATGATCTTGGTATTCTTACCAAGGTAATTTTATTGGCTAAAATTGTCTTTTATGTCAACCAACAAATTTTCCTTGAACATAGGGAGCAGTTGGGTACTAACTCAATATCTCAGGTTCTAAAACTTGGAATATGGGATATGAAACCCTTGGGAAGGGTTTAGCACAGAAGAATAGCAAAAAATAAACCTTTGGAAAATAAGTAGAAGTACTGGAGTAACAGTGTTTACTCTCAAAAAGAACAGGGTCAAGGTTACATTCATGTATCAGGAATAAGATCCTTTATGATACACACATTGGTGATCAACTGGGTCAACTCTATTGTGAGGAAGACAGGGGGAAAAGATTACATGATGGGATAATAGATTTGTCTTCATGGAAGGAAGAATTTCCCCCATACTCTTAAGGATTGATAAACCAGGAAATGGGTTATAAAAGACTATGGAATTTACTGTGGGGGACCTAATTTTTCCCTACTTGGGAAAGCTAAGAGGACCTAAAGGAACATACCGTGTAACTTTTTAAAATATATATATTTTTCCTTTAAGATCTCAGATTAAAAGTGTTACAATTTAAAAATCAAGTTCTGTTTCTCTATCCAGAGGCAATAAAAGAAACAACTGATATGAATGACAATGGGCTTAAAGCTCATTTGGAATTATTACCTAATCTTATTTAGTGAAAGAAGATTGTGAGTTCTTAGGTAATTGCTTTCTTGATCTGCTTTAGGTTCAATAATTCTCTCTCATTGTTTTAAATTGTGTTAAAGTGTGTTTATTAAAATACTAATGAGACCAAAGCCATACTGATTAAAAATAGAATTATTCATTTAAACCTTTTGATATTATGAAATCAAAGGTGTACTCTAGTATTGGAAGATGGATCCTGCAATTCTAAAGAGTTGTTTGCTGTGTACCTAGAGTTATTGTTTAAAAATAATAGTTCAGTCTAGATCTGTTGAAGTTACAAAATTTTTATGGAATGAAACGACTTTTTAAATCATAAAACAATTTATCCTAAGAGCTTTAGATAGGGTGCCTCTCTTCTAGTGATTTTCATAGCATCTAATTAATAAATAAATGCATGCTGGCTGGGCAATACATATTGAGTAGGTTTTGTTTATCAACTCCCTTTGTAATTTTTTAGAATATTTGCAACTGAGGTTTTCCCCCTTTCCCACTCCTCCTTTTGTGCTCATTGACTTTATCTTGCGGCCTGTGTCTTACCTATTTTTATTTTTATTTGCTCTCCATTTTCAGTTTCAGGTTTTTCCTAATTTTTTTAATAGGTCAGTACAATTAAAGACATTAGTCCATTATTTTTCTGTGTTTCTTTGGAAGGTAGCTGGTGTTACCCAATCACACACATGTTGACTGATACCTTGAAAGCAGATCTGCAGTTTCTTCCTTAAAGAAACCCAGAATGCAGCAGAGTCAGTCTGCTCCCCAGTAGCTGCCCTGGGTCCCTTCTCCTTCTTCACTGTCATCTTAAGGATTAGGCTCCCTCACTGATCTGAACTATTGCAGTTCTCCCTGCTCCATCTGTCTGCCTCTCATTGTTAGTCCCTTCCTGCCCTTTCTCCCATTTAGCAGGAAGCATATCTGTACCATCTCTCCATGTTTAAAATCCTTCATTACTGGTCCCTTGTATTCAAGATGCAGTCCACATCCCAATCTAACGTGTATAAAAGCCACCATCTGAGATCAATCCCAGATGCTTGGCCAGCCTGCTCTCGCTGCCACACCCCTAGCCTCCTCAGCTCATTCATTCATTACTCTAGCCACATCAAACTCCACGCTCTGGGTACAGGAAAAAGCCTGGGCAAAGAAGTGGTACTGGAAAATGAGATGATCCTTAAGCAATGGAGTATAAGATGTAGCCCAGTTGGTGCTAGGCATGTTTGTGCAACATTGCCATGAGTTGGTGTCGGGGCTCTGGTGCCCAGTTAAGGAATGGTGACAGGGTTAGCCAGTCATTCTCTCTAAGGAGAGGAAACTGTCTGCAGAGTTTGTCATGATCCACATCTGTACTCTGATACCCTCCTCTGTTTTTCTCCAACCTCAGCCTGTGATGGTGATCACTGGGGGCCTCACTGCAGCAGCCGGTGCCAGTGCAAAAATAAGGCTCTGTGCAACCCCATCACAGGGGCCTGCCACTGTGCTGCAGGATTCCGGGGCTGGCGCTGTGAGGACCGCTGCGAGCAGGGCACCTATGGTAACGATTGTCACCAGAAATGTCAGTGCCAGAATGGAGCTACCTGCGATCATGTCACAGGGGAATGCCGTTGCTCACCAGGATACACTGGAGCCTTGTAAGTGACACACTGCTGAGCAGTGTGGCAAAACCCACCCACTCTCTCCATTCCTGCTGTGCCACCATCATATTCCTTGTGCCTGGTTTCTCTTGCTGCCTGAATAGCTACTGACCAGTCTGGACTACGGGCCTGGATAAGGAGATAACCACTAGGTAATCCTGCTGTTTGGCTTTGAATGTCAGAGCTTAGTTAAAGTCCTAGGGCCAGCTTTCCAGCTTCCGTTTTGGTGAGGTGAAGGTAGTTAGAATGGCAATATTTGTGAGAGGTTGCAGCAGATTTGCATTTCTGCTCTGAATCTCTCATAGTTGCATTCACTGGTGACTGGTGACTGTTAGTGGTCCAGGTTGTTCTGCTCTTTGTGGCAATTAATTAGCTGGATAAAGCTGGGTGGATTTATTATCTTAGAAAAGAGGAAAGGAGGACTTTCTATTACAAATAGTTCATAATAAAAAGATTAACTTGGTTATTTAATACCCACGGAAATATGTTGCTTTGTGGATATAAAGATATATGTATCACATCCATGTAGAATAAATGCAAATACCTTAATTTTTTTCTGGAGAACATTGAAACAACTAGTTAACCTCCCATTACTTTCTTTATTTTGTGGGAAAGGCATTTTTAAGTTTGCTTCCATTAGCAAACAGAATAAGAGAATTTGCCATAAAAAAAGAAAAAAAAAAGTGAGAGAGAAAAACCTTGTTTCCTTACTGAGAAAATTACACTTGTAAATCACCAAACCAAACACTTGGAAAAAATGCAGCTGATTAGGTAAATACTTCCTGCCAGCAGTGGCAATGTCTATGAAACAGGACTAAAGAAAAAAACTGCAATATCCTGGAGAGCCCTGATTTTCAGAAGAATGGACGATCAGCTCACACTATTTAATTGGTAACATTGCTTTTATGGATTTTCATGAAGGTCACAGTTGAATAGGGATGTGTGAAACTTGGAGTGGCTTCACAGGAGAGCAAAAAAGACAAAGGCTTGGAGAAGAAGGTCCTTATGACATAGGTTAAAAGAATGGACACTTGTCAGTCTGGAGAAGAGAAAATTGAATATTGATTATGAACAATATGTGCCCAAAGAGGGTGATATGCAAATATTTCTACAATCTTTGAGGTTAGAACAAACACACTAACAAAAGTAGACTTACCTGTAGTGCAAGTTCTTTGTAAGAGTTTTATGGACAGTTCCTGTCACCAATGTATGTTTGGCCATTTTACTTCCAGGTGCTCTCAGGTAGGACAGATTTCCCTCGAACTGAACAGGTTTCATTAGAAAGTACCCCCAAACAAGAGAAGGACTAGGTGGCCCCTCAAAGATATGTCAGCCAATATGATTAATGTTCTTGGAATTAATTAATGAATAATAATTGAATGGAGAAAGTTTGTAGGTTTTAGGGTCCTGGGTGCTGTTATATCTGTGAACCTGAGGATGATGTGGTTGGGTAAGTAATGGTGTCTTCTTTTATACTTTAATCCCTCAGCTGTGAAGATCTCTGTCCTCCTGGCAAACATGGCCCACAGTGTGAGCAGAGATGCCCCTGTCAAAATGGAGGAGTGTGCCATCACGTCACTGGAGAATGCTCTTGCCCTTCTGGCTGGATGGTGAGCTTCCTTTCAACCCCCGCACCACCCACCAAAGTCACCCGATCCAGGACATTCAAGCAAACACCCTGTGGAGGACATTAGTGCAAAAGAAAGTAGCAATGATGGTTAAAGGTTCCAGAATTGAAATTACTTATTAATTTAAAAATTCAAATCCTTTAGTCCAGAGAAGGCAGAAGGTAATTTAGTCCTAGACTTGAAGCACATTAAGGATCCTTAGGGAAAAAAATAGCAGCCATCTGTCCTGTATTTCCCCTAAGGATAAAAAGGAGACAAATACCTGGTCTCACACACGATAGCAAGAGCTGAAAAACACTGGAGTTATTTAATAGTCATTTCCATAATTAGGTTTGTGGATTGTGTTGTTCTTTGAGAATATTATTCTAAATGTTATGTGAAAAAGTATTACATAATTTGGTTATGTAAGTCTGGAGACACCCAAGGGTAAAGCAAGTGTACCTCCAGATACCAAGTACTGTAAAACTTCTCAGGGCCTTTGGTGTAATAATACAGGGGGAAGCTATGCTTCACGACACTTCCCAAACTTTGACCATGACCCTGTTTTCACATAGCAATTCACAGGCTTAGTGCTAGGTGGAAGACACAACACTAGAACATTGCCAATTAGACTCATCTGAGATCTGGAATTACATTTGTTCTCATCTCCATGGGGTGCTTTGTGCATATACCTGCTCAAAGGCAGAAGTATGAATGACCAATGTATGTTTCCTTCATTAATCATTGAGTAAAAAGAGCACTTTGCTTCCCTATCATTGACAAGGGTCCCAGAAGCTTGCAAAGATCTTTGTTCTTGCAAAGTTCTCAAGTGACTTCTTAATTGCCAGATCCACTGAGGACTCTTCTGTTCCCACCCTGCTTCACTTCTCAGAGCTTTGACTCGTGGATCACACGTCTTCCTTCCTTAACCTTTTCACCCTCCCCTTCCTACTTCTCTTACTAATGATCTCTTAGTTCCCCCTTCTTTTATATACCACTTATTTACAGCATTTCCTAGATTTCAGTCTTATCTTTCTTCTCTTACTGTGAACCCTCTCCAAAAATCTCATATAGACCCAAAACTTTAAAAATTAGATACTGATTTCCCCAAATCTTGATCTCCCTGCCCTGAGCCCAGATGTGTATTTGTCACTCTCGTGTTAGACACCTGAGGCTTGATAATTGGAAATTTTCTTTATTGTGGGCATAGAACAGAGAACTGGCAGTCTACTCCCAAGGAACGTCTTGGAGAGTTCAAAATGTCAAGACCACGGGGGCAAGTATACATGGCTATCAGACCCCAGGTAGGGTCAGAAATGGTGAATAGGCCAGACCAAGTCTGATTCTAGAAGCTCAGGGTAGAGAAACTTCATAAGGAAATGAGTCAGAATAAAGGGGGCTTTCACTGAGAGCCTGAGGATGAGGTTAAGAGGGGAGCCCCTGGAGGAGTATGGGGCTCATTCCAGCCGGCCCTGCAAAGTTAATGAAAATAAACTCAAACTGGTCATGTGCCCATGAAGGCTTCCTTAAGGCTACTCCACCTCTAAATTTTTTTTTAAATCTGAGTGAAACCCACCACTTTTTTCTCAGTTGTCCAAGGTAGAAATGCTAGATTATCTTTGGCTCCTTCTATTCTTTCATCTCCTGTATTTGGCCTTTTGCCAACACTGGTTCTTGGCAAGGGAAGGATTTTGCTGGAGCGTCAGTGTCCCAAGAGCTCTGTGGATAAGAAACTGCAGGCATTCTGCTCCTAGGACTTTTGTGTAAATACTGTTTGTGGGGTTGCTTCATCTTGAAGAAGAGAAAATTGAATATTGATTATGAACAACATGTGCACAAAGGGCGCAATATTCAAGTGTTTCTACATTTGGAGCTTTTTCTTTTCAGCTGGGGTGGTCTTGATGTGGGATAGTGGTAACCATAACCTTGCATTGTGTCCCACAGGTGAACAGGTGGGCCCTCTCTCAGGGTCCCCTCCAGCCTGCCCTCCACCACTTCCTCTAGGCTCTGGGCTGCCTCCCTTAACAACTTTCTTTGAACTCCTCTGTGTGTGGCTGGGCTTCCAACTTTATACTTTATTTGTTCTATCATTTTAGGTATCTTTCAAAGGTAAGCACATAACTCCTATTATCCCTACATACACATATATTTCAACTAATAAAAATAATGTCCCCCTTAAAGCTGCTGGCTCACATTAGTCCTTATTCATAAACAAGATTTCAACATCATCCCTGGAGCTTATGTAGAACCATGATGGGTAGTGAGGATTAGGCCCGAGTGAGGATTTACACCAGCACACCCGCTCACAGTGTGCAGACCCTCCACCCTCGGCATGGTCCTTCAGTCATGTTTCCACCTTACACTAAGTATAGTGTGCTGTGTTAGAATAGAAGGATGAGAATGATTTTTACACCTGTTTGTGAACTAATTGGGGATTGTGAACTTTTCTTTGATTTTCGGTGCTTAGCACTATGCCCAGCACATAGATGATTCTCAGTTAAGCACTAATTTGAATCATCTCTCAAAGGATTTTTCGGTTCCAAGTGTCTGTAGGAGAACTTTCCCTGTTTGTAGATAGCTAGAAACCACCAGAGGAGACTTAATTAGCACACCAACTGCCTTTGTGGGTAGCCAGTAGTTAGAGGAAATGTATTTTCTTATGCTATCCAGAATAAACATTTACAAAACCATCTGGTGTTTGCTAGGCTCCAATTTCAGAGTGTTCACAGTCTGCCTTTTTTTTTTTTAAGAGAAAGAGAGAGGACAAAGCAGCTTCTGACCATTAAAACCATTGAAAAATCCCTGTTATGGGGGATATGATATTAACTCTAATTATAACTCCAATAAATACTCTCACCAGCTATAACCCCAGGAAATTAGGAGCTACAAGACCAAGTTATGTAGCTAAGTGGAGTATAAATATTAGAGTATTTCTGTGACTTCTCAGTATAGTATCTTACTCATATCCAAACAGATTTGGAATAAATACAAGGATTGTACTTGACAAGATGGATATTCTCTAGGGTAAGGAGAAATGTCCAATTTACTTTCTCAATTTTTCTTCCTGGGAATAAGCTTTCCTATTGATCTTGGCTCAGAAGTACCCATTGAACCTACTGAAAATAAAAGCTTTTTTCTTCTGAAATAAATGCCAAGGTTCATTCCTGTGCAAGTATTTCTTATGCCATGTGGCTGTTAATTCAGGTACATAAAATTTCAGACTTATGTTTTGTTAGATTTTAAGAAATACAGCCAGTGAGGATGTGTATTTTCTCTGGAACATATGGTAAAACATTTGGATATTCCATTTGCACCAGATGTTGCCTTTTATGTAACGGATGCTCAATAAGTATTGTTGACTTATTGTGCATGTAAGACACAAGGAAGAACACTTAGGAGGATTTATAAATTCCTTAGGTTGTCATAATAATTTGACATAACTTTATCTGAGGCTTCAGTTTTAAATATGGATTTTTCTTAGGATTACTATTCTGCTGTCTTACAATGTACCTTGAGATTTAAGCTTACCAAGTAAACAAGCCCACTTAAAATTCCTAACATTTATGAGATGATGATCAGTTTATGTGTTTTAATATTCTTGCAGCCCGGTTCCTATCTCCTTCCTTCCCATTCTGTTTCTTCTCTTTCCTTCTCCCTCCTTCCATCCTTCTCTGGCTGGAAGCCCATTTAATTTTCCAAGTCTCTTTGAATACAGGGCACAGTGTGTGGTCAGCCTTGCCCTGAGGGTCGCTTTGGAAAGAACTGCTCCCAAGAATGTCAGTGCCACAACGGAGGGACATGTGATGCTGCCACAGGCCAATGTCATTGCAGTCCAGGATACACAGGGGAACGGTAAGGGACACTCTTGTATTTCTCCAACTATTCATAATGGCATGGAGGAAAAGTTTGGAGTGTCTGGGAAGCATCTTCAGAACCATATGTCTATAACTGTTACATAAGATTCCAGAAGCATCTGTTGAGTATTCATGTGTTTGAAAGATTTTATCCTAATTCAACATGCAGAAACTGAATCACAGTTAATGAACTGAAGATAATGGAGAAGTTGGGCTTGGTGGCTCGTGACTATAATCCCAGTGACTCAGGAGGCTGAGGGAGGATGATCACAAGTTTGAGGTCAACCTCATCAACTTAGGGGGGACCCTGTTTCAAAATTAAAAGTAAAAAGTTGCTCAGTGGTAAAGCACCCCTGGGATCAATCTCTAGTACAAGACAAAACAAAATAACAATAACAATGAAACCCGGAGAGAAATATCATGGAGAAAGGAGAGAGAGAGAGAGATCATAAAATATCAGCTATTCAGAACTCAAGATGAATGTGTTGTTCTGAAAAATTGAGCGTTTAGGATGCCATTTACATTTTAAGTATTTTTGGATCAATTGATTTAAAAATGGGATGTATACTTAGGTACCTTTAAAAAGCATAAAGTTTACCTTCCTAAGATATACCATTCTGGTAAGAATATTAGTCATCATACTATGTGATACCATGTGGTGGTGATAGAGTAAGACCCCTGGGACTCCAGGGTTTTCTGACCCACATGAAATAGGAGCAAGGGCTAGCTCAGGTGTTTCTTGCACCATGGTTTGTCATTTCCTGTGTAGGGTTTTGCTCACCCTACTTCTGATTTGCTCTTGATCTGTTTTATCCTGGAAGACTGGGAACTCAAGCTTATCGGATATGTATGTAAATTGGAGAAAAGACTCGACAGACAGAAGGGTATAATGATTAAGAACAAAAGGTTTTGGAACCTGGGTTTAGGCCAGTGTGTCCTTGGAAATGATTCTATCTGTAATGTTCAAGTTGTAATCATACTTTACCCTAAGGGTATCATAAGAATGAAATTAGAAGTTAGTACATTAAAGCCTTCAGGCCTCAGGACAGTCCTGCAGTTGATACATACAGTTGTTGTTATAATTAAATTATGTCTGTGAACTGTATAAAATTAGCTGTCACGGGTTTTGTGATGCCTGTGAATTAAAAATCTCTTTTGCCTCTCTCCACCCTCTTTTTTTCTAACATTCTATTTTATGACTTTTTTAATAAGTAGGATTTATTTGTTTTTTTCCCTTCCCACATACACTCTGAAATTTCTGATTAAATATATGTCTAAGAACTGTATAATTTTTAAAAATTCCAATTCAGTTTTTAATTGAATATTTCTAGATAAAGAAAAACACTTGTGAAAGTTTACTTTATAATTTAGTCACCCTGCCAAACTTCTAAATTAATTTTAATGTTATTAAAACACTAAAATTATTTAGTTGTACAATTCGGTCATCTGCAGATTAAGTTGGCCTTTTTCAATATTTATAGTGATTCATTTCATTTTCTGGAATTATTGCATGAATTTGAGCCTCTGAATTAGCATTGACAAATCAGGGTCAACTTGGGAATTCTCATCTTCTTCCTAATTTTACTGGAAATGGCTTCGGTGTAATTGCATGTTTGCTATTGGTTGTTAGTAAATTGTCTTCTTTGTGCTTACATACTTTTTTTTTCCTTAGTCCCTATTTTTGTTAAGTATTTTTGCTAGTAGTATCAACTTAATTTTATTAAAAGCTTTTAAAAAATCTTTTGTTAGTATAAATTATATGTTTCCTTTAATTATTTGATGTTATGAATTATTGACATCTAGTACATAGTTATTTTATAACATGTAATTGGTCTACTCAGAATGTTTTTTTGTGACCAACAGCCTAGTTCTAGGAAATATTTTAGGCAGATGAAGTTGTTAGGTAATTTCTGGACCTGGGTAACATTTTATTATAGAAAAATGAGGGAGGACACAAGACCAAGCTGAACCCTAAGTAATATTTTATGTCACATTTCTTGGTCATTAAAAATTTCAATGTAACTGTTTTATTGTCCTTTAAGGATTTAAATTTAAAATTAAAGACAAGAGAAAACAATACACACACAAAACCAGTGAGCTCACACTCATTTGGAATATAGGGGAAGGAAGTAACAGCTAACTGTTAGGTAAATTTTAAAAGCAAGGAAGACAAAAGTTAGAGAGAAAGGAATAATGACAGAGCTTGCTTCTTGAATTATTGCTCTTATAACTACTGTTTTCTAAGGCACCAAGGCTGATGATGGTGTGATTCCTATTTTCAATGGCTACCCCCATCTGGGTTCTAGAGTGAACATACATACCCACCAAATGACAACAAGCATATTTGTCATTGTGAAAGAAAAACAATGAGTGGCTATGGGGCAGTTTGTGGCAGGAGGTGTGGGGGAGGAGACCTCAAGGGGCTTGACTTGAGAAGTCAGTGTAACTTGACCACTGAGGTTAGGACAGATGGCTGCTGCTCTGGGGGCAGATCCCACCACAGGCAGTGGCTAGCAAAGCATTCTCAGGATGTGGGGACAGGCTCCTAGCCACAGGGAAGCAAAATACCGCCAAACAGGCACCTTGCAGTTGGTAGAGCTGCATGGGGCATACCCAAATGGAGGCTTTGGGGTTTGTGGAAAAGTTGGGAGGATATTGTGGTGAGGGAATGTAAGGTGGGGGAGTCAATTAAGAGTGAAGGAGAGGATGTTTGCAGATCCTCTCAGAAGTTCTTCTGAAGATGTTAAGAAAGTGTGCCTCATGTTAATGGTTTTATCACAGAATTGCCTTGGCCTTTGATACCCTAGCAATCACATAGGCACATAATGGGTGCTTAGTAAGGATTGGATGGATGAAGGAATCTGTGATTCAATAACGGACTCTGTTAAGGTAGAGCCCCAAGGCAGTTCTGCCAAGCCTGTTCTGCTTGACCCTAAACATGAAGATAAATGTGGATGAAAGGAGGTAGTCAGACATGGAAGCCAGACATCAGGGAACATTGGTCTTCAGTGGAGGAGCTCTTTCCTGTCACTATAACTATGGAAGAGTTGGCTCCTTCCCAGAGCTTTTGATGTTCTCCCGGAGCAGCAGTTCCAGATGTCAGAAAGGCAGGCAGCTGACCCTCTAAGTCTAGGTTAAACGAGGAACATGATTCTCTCACACTAAATTATGATTGTGCCAACTATTCTGGTCACTCTCGGGAGAAGTGTGCTCAAAAGGACAAGGGAGGAAGAAGGATCTGCCACCCCTCACACAAACTCACTTCCTTCCTTTCAAGTTACAATGAGATGTGACATAATTATCAAAATGACTTTGATACAAGTCCGGGATTCCACTGGTTTGGGAATTAGTGTAATGTTTTATTAGTGTAATTCTACTGAGTGCTTATTCATCCTTCCCAATTCCAGGGCATTAGTTGGGATAAATAAAAGTAGATATCAAAAATTTCTATATTTCCATTTTGGTCAGTATTTATTAGTTCTCTTTCATTTCTCTTAAGAAAATGTATTCCCCTTTTCATTGTTTCCTGAGAGAGTTTTTCTCATTCTGTTTGGGGCCACAAGAGCAGTATGAAGGCCTTAAAACATGTTGAGCTGAAGATAAAGGAACCATTCAGAAATGCTACTCCACGATTATGTTTATTTTCATTATGAAAAAAGTCCCATATACATGTATAGGATTATTATACTGTGCCCTTTGAATTGGTGCAATTAAAATAGTAAGTTTTTAAAAGATGGAAAGTGTCTACTTCTAGAAAGACCTCCCGCCATCTTGGTGTGGTAGATGGCCTGAGTATTATTAACAGATGCTGTCACAAGTACAGACTGACAAAAAAAAAAGAACCAAGTTGACATGATGGCTGCTTTCGAAAGTAAAATTCAAATGACTGTGTTATGTATTTATAATACAAATTAGTAGTGTGTTTAATTACAGAATGAAAACATAAATATGGGTCAGAACCTGTTATTATGCATTTTTTTTCCCAGAGAAAAGGAAATCTCTGCCAAGATATGATAAAATATGCACACTGGTTCCCTGTAATTTGGTGGCAGATACTTTTCAGGCTTTCTATCTTTACCACTTTCAACCACTTCTAGAACTGTGCTTTTTTTTTTTTTTTAAACAAAGCTGGAGTCATGCAGATAATCCAAAGCTTAATATTTTGGTTTGTCTTCAAATCCATGTAAGAAGAGAAAGCAATATTATTTCACATTGTTTATCTTTCTCCTTTTGTTACTGATTTGCAAGGAAATAAAAACCAATAGGTTGTCAAGTTGTTTTGCCAGCTTTCAGTGGAAACCCTGATGGGGTCACAGCACTGAATCTCAATATTTCTTTCTTTACAGTTTATATCTTTAAGGAATAAACTAGATGACTTGGCTCATTAAAATTCCTTACATGTTAAAAATAATGAGAACCTTCGAAAGCCTGGAGCAGTGGCGCACACATATAATCCCAGCCGCTTGGGAGGCTGAGACAGGAGAATCGCAAGTTCAAAGCCAGCCTTGGCAATTTAGCGAGGTCCTTAGCAACTTAGTGAAATCCTGTCTCTAGGTGAAAAATAAAAAGGGCGAGGGATGTGACTGAGTGGTTGAGCACCCCTGGGTTCAATCCTCAGTACAAGAAAAAACAAAACAAAACACCCTCTGGTCTAAAAATAGGTGTACTCGTGTGTAACTCTAAAGAATACTTTGGATTTTACGCCAAGTGTTAGCTCAGTTTCTCCAGAACTTCTCTAAGGGTCTAGGAGTGAAAACTTTAACTGTTGACAGGTGTACGTACCTAAAGATGTCTAGAACCAACAAAGCCAAACTTACAAGAGGAGGCCCTTTTCCTTGTCTCCATCACATTCAATATATGCAAGAGCCAGAGGTAACCAGAGAATTCCCAACATTCGTCCTCTGCTCTGAGAATCGTGGTTCTAGCAATCACACCCTGTTCAGGATGTGCGAAACCTTGTAGAAAGGCTGTTTTGAGAATGTTTCTTTACTGTTTCTTTCCAGCATTCTGGAATTTGTTATCATGGTTTGTTGCTCGCATTATACGGATCTGAAAAATGCAATGCTGACCTACATTTTGACTCTGGGTCTGGCATGACCTGAGAGCCACATGGAAAGTGGCTGCTGAGACAAAGTGTACCCTCCTTGTGGTGAATGCTCAGCTAGATGAAACCCTGTCTCCCTCTCCCTTGGCAGAGAGCTCTCCTTCTGTTGTGGAGAGCCCCGTCACCGTCACCTCATCTCGCCAAGAGGAAACTTGGCTAACCCAAGAGCCACTGGCACTTTCTGTGGAGCAGCAATGAATAATTTTCTCTTTTCTGTCATGGTTTCCTCCAGCAACTCAGCTTCCCATCTCACTCACCTTACCTACAGTGAGTCCTTCCACCAGGATGGCGCTCCAATGCCATTAAACAAACAAACAAACAAACAAAAACAATGAAGTAAAGTTTTGAGGTCTGATATTTTTTCCTTGACCTTTGGCAGCCCTTCTTCATAACAGAGGACAATATCCCACTTGCCAAAAATATTGTTAGGAAACTCCAAGCCTCCCTATGATCTCCTGGCTGGGCTTCCCAGGTTGGAATAGAGGACACCTGAGCTCAGAATTCCCCAAACTTAAAAAGGGCATCTTCATGAGTTACTTAGCTTTCTAAATGAGATACAGTGATTCAACTTTGAAGAGAGTGGAGACACCGTTCAAGTTAAAAATTAATTTTTTTTTTCTACACAGAAAGCCAAGAGAATTAAAATTTACTATCAAATTTGCTACCAAGTCCCCCCCCCCTTGGGAACAGAGGCCGAATGCTTTTAAATTTCTTAATTATGGACTGTGACTAACATTTGGGCGATTGCTTTTCTCCCTTTTTTGGTACCTACTAAAGTACTATGTATGCCTTTGGCAAGCATTAAGTATGAAACCTGCTTCATGTCCTGAGCTCATCATTTTATTTTGCTTTGGTTTATTTCTTCGTTCAACAGTCATACTGTTGTCACTACTGTGTGGCGGAGTAATTCACCTCAATGCTTTTCTACCTATAATGGGAGAATTGCTATATAAGTTCAAAAATCAATTTTAATTTTTACATCATAAAACCATTTTGAATGGATACTCCCTCTGCCCACCCCAGTATTGGGATTAAACCCAGAGGCACTATATCACTGAACTACATCCCCAATGCATTTTCAAATTTTTATTTTGAGACAGGGTCTCACTAAATTGCTGAGGCTGGCCTTGAATTTGCAATCCTTCCGTCTCAGCCTTCAGAGTTGCTGGGATTCCAGTGGTGTGCTTCTGCACATGAGACACATGACCATGAGACGACTCTTTTATTTTCACCTGGCACTGACTAATCTATCTACTGTCCCCATTTCTTGCTTGATAGGTGTCAGGACGAGTGTCCTGTTGGAACCTATGGGGTTCGCTGTGCTGAGACCTGCCGGTGTGTCAATGGAGGGAAGTGTTACCATGTGAGTGGCGCATGCCTCTGTGAAGCCGGCTTTGCTGGTGAGCTCTGTGAGGCTCGCCTGTGTCCAGAGGGGCTCTATGGCATTAAATGCGACAAGCGATGTCCCTGCCATCTGGACAACACTCACAGGTGAGTGTTGGCTGCCCCTGGAAGAATGTGTCCTCTCAAAGTTTTAAATTTAGTTGTCCAGGATTTGGAAACAGGGATTGATAGAGTTTGGCACCCTAAGACCTTTCCTGCCTCTGGGTTGTCCTGGGTAGGAATTAACAAATCCAAGGAGAATGTTTTCACTTAGTGATTGATGACCCATGTCAGAAGTACTAAAATTGTTAGATGGCCATTGGTAGACATTAAATTCTTTTATCTATTAATGGCCACTGGCAAAAATTAAATTTGCTGAGATTAGTAGAACTCTTCCCTGAGAGAGGAATTCTGTGACATGCCCTTAGAAGCAAAGATTCAGTGGAGGAACAAGGGCTTATGCCAAGGTTAGGATGCAAAAGATCATAAACCCAATCTCAGTGCAACATATTTTCCTTAACAACAAATCTATGCAAGCAAAAGGGAAGTGGGAGTGTAGAAATTTTTTGCAAGTGTTTCACATGTGGTTGTCACCTGGGAAATACCTTTCCAGGATTGATTACTTTGACACACAACCCACAGGGGTCTGTTAGCTCAAAAATCTCTTGAAGAATTTTAGAACAGGAAACCACAAACCCACCCACCCTACTATATCTAGTCTGCCCCTGAAAATATCTCCCCACCAATTCTCTTCTTTTTCTTCCTCTAAGGACCAGAAACACATAACTTAGAATTTGGGGCCTTGTTTGCAGACTTCTGGAAAAGCTGCATGTGACTGGAATGTAGTACATTATATAGAAGTTCAGATGTTACTAGAATTACTTTTATTTGCATTCAGCACAGATGTTGCTTCATTTATTAACTGAAGAAAACTCATGGCTGCATGGAATCCCAAATGCATAAGAGTTAAAAGTAAACAGAAATATGTAGACAGTCTCTCTTCTTTAATCCATTGTTAGGAACCAAAAACAAAAACCAAGCAATAACAACAACAACAACAAAACCCTTGTAGTGTGTGTGTGTGTGTGTGTGTGTTTATGGTAGAATATGTTTAAGTATGACATATCAAAGAATTGTATTCTTAATGTGATTCAAATAACTTTTTGTAAGCCGCATTAATCAACTTCTGGTTTTGCTCATTGGAAAATGTTGTCATTCTTTACATGACAGGCTTAGGTAAACATTTGGGAGGGTAATATTTAAGAAGGTAATTGGATTAGAGAAAAGTCATAAGTTTGACTTCCTTTCCTACAGTATAAGATTTGTTGCAGTGAGAGGTAAGTGTCCTGTAGTATTAGCCAAGAGCATTGTCTAGTGTGCTTTGCTGTATGTAGATACAGCTGAAGCATATAGAACAATAAACCTATAGAAAGAAAGAGCTCTGCTATGAGAACAGTTGGAGAAACCGAGATAATATTGATAGTGGCAAGATGCAGGTGGAGAGTTATTTGATTGATGCCAATCCTGTGATAATTGTGACACAGGTCATGTGTAACTAAGTATGTTTGCTTTAACAAAGTGTGTGAGATTATCTACAATCATATAGATCAAACAACATGAAAATCTGTCTAATAATGTGTATAAAATAGAAGATTTTAAAAGTCTATTTTTTCCCTAAATCATGAAAGCTGTTTTTGAAGATTAGCTTTTACACATTTCTATTAAGACACATTGAATATTGATTATATCGTTCTATTTTTTTGAACTCACAGTTGTAGCCATTCGTTAATTCTTGTATCTTGACTATTCATTAGTTCTTTTTCTTGTGGTTCTAGGGATTTAACAAAGGGTCTCACACCATGCTAGGCAAGCACTCTTCCACAGAGCTCTATCTTGAGCCCTTGCTAATTCCTTATATGTTGAACTTCCATTTAAAATTCTTGGAAACACAAACAAGTTCCCTTCAAACCAAAGGCATGAAATTCTTGTTTTAATTGAAAGTCTAACTTGTTCACTTACCACTTAATCAAGCAAGCTGAGCTGTGCTATTACATAATTCATGATATATATTTATCCTAAAGCCTTTCATTATAACTATTGAGAAAACTAATGCAATTTAAATTAATACTTTACATTGTCTTTAGGTAAATTTTGATTTCTATGAATCTACATATTGATATATATTGTGGCCATATACTTGGGTAGGGGTTTGTATTGATTAGCTTTTGCTGCGTCGTAAAAAAACAAACTCCCTAAACTTAGCACAAAACAACATTTGCTGATGATTTTCTGATTGGCTATTTGGACTGAGCTCAGCTTTGTGGTTCTTCTGCTGGTGCCCCTGCAGCTGGCAGGATGACTGGAAGCTGATTGATCCTGGATATTCTTACTCACATGTCTGACATTTGGCTGGGTGATTGCAGTGACTGATCCATACATCTCCAGCATCTAGCAGGGCTTTTCTACATCATGACTGGCTTCTAAAAACAGCACTAGACAGGGCAAGCACCAACATGCAAACATATTTCAAGCCTTGGTTTTGTTATGTGTGCTAATGTTTGTTTATAAGACAAAGCAAGTCCAAATTCAATATGCTCCACCTCTTGATGGAAGAAGTTACAAAAACTTGTAACTATTTTTATTTTGCAATCAATTATAAAACTGAAATGACTTTGAATGTATTTATAACTAATATTGCTACTTTGAATTTTAGCACTATTGTTGAACCTGAAGTCATTTCACTGTGACTTTTCAACTTAAAACTAACTTTTGTGGTGGAAATGATTTTTAACAATAAAATAAAATTTGATATTTAATCAAAAGCCTTGTGGGATATGTATATTAGCTCTTGTTAATAAGGACATTCAATAGCCATTGGCAATCAGGATGTGCCTCTTAGTAAATGCCACCTAATTGCCATTGCCTTTGAGCATTAATAACATCTAAGGAAGTGAATTAAAGGAAGTTCAATGACTCATTCTGTTTAAGCCAGGATTATACAGTCTAATACTAGGACTCTTGCTATAATTTAGCTATTAAATTGAAAACTTACTAGAAAATGTGTATTAAGTTATATCTGTATATGAAATGACAAATATTCCCCTATGTGTATAATCCTATTTTTATATACGCAAAGCAATCTGTTCTTTAGATGGAAAACAGATATTGAGTGTATCACCCTTCAACCTCTAGTCTGCTGCTCCTACATAAACACGTAAATCTCATTACCAATTAAGCTGCCTGCATGAGAACACATCAAATGCCTCCAAAGTGCTCTGGCTTCCTACATCTAATTACAAATTGCAGAATACTAATTTTGGTGTCAATCAATCTGAGAACCAGTGTGCTGCATTCCTACTCACTGGGGGGCATTGAATATCAATTTCTCTGTCTGCCTCTCTCTCAATTCAATTCTCTGTCCCCATATTATCTATTTTGTTTAATATTTATGCCTAAGTTGTGAATGTAAACCAATGTTTCTCACCAAAAATGTCCTTTTTTATAGGATAAGGTAAACTACCTAATCCATCACTTGAAATATTTTCTGTTCCTCTTTTTAAATGTAGGGCCTTATTGAAGTAAATTTAAATTTGTCTGTGTTTGCTTGCAGGGGCTGATGACCTCTTATCAGTGCAAAAGCCAGAACTTTAGCTATTCTCTTTCATATCTAGTTCCCCATGCAGGCTGCTAGTGAACTTGCTTTCTTTGGTATAAAAACCAAACAAACCTGAGTTTAAATTTGATTCTGTCACTACCTGTTTGAACAAATCTTACACTTTCTAGGCCTCTATTTCCTTGTTTATAAAATGGGATCATGCATTATGTCCCCGGAGAAAAGATGTGTCTGAAGGAGGGTCCGAGGAGTTCCTGGAGAAAAGGAGAAACTTGACTTAGGGCCAGGGGGGTTCTTGGCATTCCCGACAAGAAAGAATTCAGCATGGGCCAGTCAAAGGCATAGACAGAGCTTTCTTTAGGACAGTAGACACATATTTAAGGGAGAATGGGAACAATCTCAAAAGATACCTTTTGGGTAAAGCAAGGAATACATATTCAAAGGAGAATGCAGACCCATCTGCAGAGGAAGAGACAGCAACCTACTGGTGTGAGTATTCACATTTATAGAGTTGCTAGGAGCTGGTTTAGAGGTGACGCCAGGGAAGAGCTCTACAATTTCACACCAGTTTTCCCTATTTTTGCAGATTGCCCTCATATTACAAAGGCATGTCACTCAGGAGTTGCAGGTGTTTATAGGCCCTATCTGAATTTCAGTGATTCATGGGCACTTCCGTTGAGAACCAGTCTCTCTCTCACTCTTTATTCCCAAATTATTATTTCAGTCACGAGAATGGGATTAAATAATGCACATGGAGTGTTTATCAGAGTGGCACCCATTCAGAGCTCCATAAATAGTAGCTGCTGGTCTGTGCATTCACATATAGTATCATCATAGATACCACAGAAGTGTGTTCTACAATAAGTAGCAATTCCTTTTAATACTAACTTTAGGGGAAGCCTCACTTTATATGCAGGTACGTTGATTATTATTTAGCATTGCTCAATGGCAGAGATGTCAGAGAGGAGCAGATCTGTGTCTGAAAGTTAGATCTGAAGTCAGATCTGCTATACATCAACTTTCATTTTCATTTATTCACTCAGACTTTATGGTACGCTGAGGACAGGGAGAAAAATAGACTGAATTCTTGCCCTCATAGAACTCATATTGTAGAGGGGAAGGAAGTTGTAAAAGTAAACATAAGATTACCAATTGTGTAAAAGGGAGATGAAGAGAAAGATCAGAGTGCAATAAAAGAGAAGAACCAGAGGGACTTCATTAAAATTTTGGGTGGGGGTGGGGGTGATGATGGTTGGAGCAGACCTCTTTGAAGAAGAGATGTGTAAGCTGAACCTGGCAGGACAAGGTGGAGAGAGATAGGCAAAGAGTAGGGAAATTCCCTTCCAGCAAAACAGACTATCCCATGGGAGGTCCTTAAGTTGACAATACTTGATGCTTTTATAAGCTAAAAGGAACCTAGTGTGGTCAAACATAGTAATAAAGAGGGAACAATGATGAAAGGAGAGGTGGAGAAGAGACAGTGGCCTGATGCTGAGTGTCACGGCTATATTTAGGGGACCATGTATCTGTTTTGACAGGACGTTATATATGTCTGAGCTCCCTATTCACTCTTTAAAATGTCCTGGTTTAAACAATAATTAAATAGTTACACTAGCTGTATTAAACCATGTGGATCTTGTTCTAAGTGAAACTTTGAAGAGTTTTCAGGAGAGTGACATGTTTTCCTGTTTAGGGAATGAGTCTGTGTGCAGCAGGGAGAAAGGATATTGGGCTGATCAGAAGCTGGGGAGGTCTGGCACTGGCATGGAGTAGAATAGTGACATTAAAGAGGAAGAGATGTGGATAGATTCAAAATGCATTTTGGCGTTGGAATGGATAAGTTCCAGTGATGAACTTTTTCTACTCCCAAGAAAGCATCTCAATTACAGAATTGCTTTTGAATGTTTCTTTAGGCCATATTTTATGAGGATGTTTATGATGGATGCCCAGGTTTATGCCTATGGGCCTTTAATTGAAGGGAGGTCTAAAATTTAAACAAATTTCTGAAATTTAGGATGAAACCATCCAACCTATAGGCTTTTTCTGAAGGAGGAGGAGGAGGAGGAGGAGGAGGAGAAAAATAAAAGTAGAACATGAGATTATGGGTTGTGGCTGAGACCCTTGTTTGACAGATGAGTCATTGGGCCAGGGGAGGTTGTGTGCCTTCATTGAGGTTACTGAGGCAGTGCAAGAAGTGGAATTACATCCTCAGCCTTCACCCCTTCTAGGCCATCATTCTTTCCAGGAGTAAAGAGTCCATGAGCAGTCCTGTGATGAGAGGTCATTTAGCAAATTCTGGATGCCACTCAGGACTTTGCAGTTTGCCTTAATTAAAGGGAGGGCTTGAGTTCCGTCAGGGGAGGAAGATCATCTTTGAACAGGCTTCCAGTTGTCCACAGAGCTAGTGTGACTGTTAAGGTTTTCCTCTGGGGGGAAGCACATATGCTTTGGTCCAGTGTGCCACAGACTGCTCTATTGTGTCAGACTCACGTCCACGTGCATCTTAGCACAGCTGATGTGTCCATTTGCTCTGGAGCAGCAGCTGGCCGCCTGGCCCGGCAATGTGGCTGCTGTTTCAGGTAGCAACAGCTGCTCTGCTATCAGGTAGAGGGAGCTGAGTGGGAAAACAGATTCACAAGGCCACGGTTTCTGGAGATCCTTGGACTTCACACTGGTTAACTGATGAGATATTGTCATTGGGATGGAGTTCTTCAGTGTTTCTCATAGAGATGGCTTCTTATTGAATTGTTGCGTTCAATTTTAGAAACTTTAAAGAATTTCAGATGAACAGATGGAGTTGTAATAGTCATCATTCTAGAGCATGATGTTGATTTCATACATTTCTGCAGTATCAATTAGGTTTCAGCCAATTAATTACATCACACCAAGCCTGGAAATGAAGTTTAAATTAGTGTGCATGGAATTACCCACACATCCTTTAGTGATCATGGCTAAAGCAACATTTGCATGGGCCTTGGGTGTCATGTTTACCCCAGAGTGATTTGTTTCTTTTATCCACGTCTTTCAGCTGTCACCCCATGTCTGGAGAGTGTGCTTGCAAGCCGGGCTGGTCGGGACTCTACTGTAATGAGACATGCTCTCCTGGATTCTACGGGGAAGCTTGCCAACAAATCTGCAGCTGCCAAAATGGGGCTGACTGTGACAGTGTGACTGGAAAGTGCACCTGTGCCCCAGGATTCAAAGTGAGTGACTTGGACTCTAGAGGCAGGAGAAGAGGGATGTGGAGCATAACAACAGCATGATTTGTACAACCTGCTGTAAAGTACAGTGAATGTGCTCCAGTCATTCACATCATGAATAAGAAGAGAAAAAGGATAAAGTATGAATAGAGACATAAGTAATGACCTTGGAATGATGATGAGAAAGCCGGCAAAACTCTCAACATGTCATTAATATTTAATATATGAATATACCAGGAAATATAATGCATTATAATTATTCCTTAAGTAATTATTTTGCTATGCTTTTATAGGCAACAAAGAAGTTTCTTTTCCAAGTAGGTTAGTTATTATTGTTGACAGTTATTCTTTTAATTCAATGAAATTTGAAGACACAACATACATCAAGTTATCATTTATTATGTATTAACATTCTTTTTTTCTATTTTTTATTTGTTTTAATTAGTTACACATGACAGTACAATGATCTTGAATGTATTAACATTCTTTAGTTAGTTGCACATAGTAGTTAGGTTCCTTTTTCCTTTGAGAACCAAGACTCTACAAATATACCTGTATGCTAACACAGCAGAATTTTGTCTATGGTTTCTAGGGTTTCTTACCTATAGTTTAGGGATCTTTGTTTTAAAGGAAAATGTGTTGTTTGGAATTATTTCCTCCCATTTTAAAGAAGAGAACATGGGACTGTGACAAATGTTTATGGTATTCCTGAACTCATCATATGGAACTGGCAGGTCATGCAGTCACAGAGCTGAAAAGATCTTTTCAGGGTTTGCTAACCTATGTCCTAATTCTTTGAGCCCTTAATTAGCCTTAAGAGTCCCTCCTTTATTTTATTTTTTTAAAGATATGCCCTCCAGTCACCTTGGTAGTAAGCCAATTCTGTGTTTAATGCTGTCAGATAAATTGAATTGCCCTCCTAGCTGAGTGTGTTCTATTTCTTTGTTTCACCCACTACAAACATTACATATTATACAAGGATGTCTAGGAAGCATTGGGAACTAATGGATAGTTCATATTTATGCTTGTATATTTACTGGTGGTAATTTTACAGCTACAATTTGTTTTTATTTATCGACTTGTCTGAGCAAGGACAAAAGGTTTATTTTTTAGTTATGCTCTGAAGGCAAATCTCATGAAGGCAGCAGACTTTTGGATCCCATTTAATATTCTATCCTAAACAGAGCACCAATAGTATTACCCTTGCATCTCTAAAATTTATATAGTGGTGACATTATAGCAACTTTTAAAAAATGCGATGTGTTAAAATTAGAAAGGAAGCATAATTAGCACCACCATGATATACTTTTGTTTATTTGTGTTGTCCTGATTTCAGTCAGCAAAATTGCCTGCCTTTTGCTATTTGTGCCTGTTTAGGGAAGTGACTGCTCCACCCCATGCCGGCAGGGCACCTATGGGATAAACTGTTCCTCTCGCTGTGGCTGTAAAAACGATGCTGTCTGTTCTCCTGTAGATGGGTCTTGTACTTGCAAGGCAGGTAAGAGTGGGTGAATGAGTTTTTTTATTTAATCCTGGTCTTGTTATCATCTAAAGTCATGGGATAGAAATCTTGAAGAGGGTTCTAGCTGTAGTTGCATCAAAATTCAGTGGCTGACCTCAGCAAGCCCCTCATCCCATGTAGGTCTAATGCCTTCATGAATCAATGAAAAGAGGCTTACATTAGATGGTCTCTGAAATTGCTGCCAGCTTTAGAAGTCTGCGAGTCTTTGCTTTGGGCAAGAGTAAACAAGCAGACGTGTGTCTGTGTCCCAAAATTGACTGACCTGGAATCATGACAAGAAATGCAGCCAAGCACAGATTCTATGTGAGGCCCAGAACGTGTCCATCCGTAGATGGAGCCAGGATCTTGGATACACATTGTTCATGGTTAATGGAAACCCGCTTCAAAGATGGGGTTGTTTTTTTTTTTTTTTTTCAAGCACAAACTTTCCTCTTCACCCACATAGTTTCTGATCTGAATGAAATTCAGCTTCCACAGTGGGCATCACTGCATGTCGAAGGAGCTCCACTCCATAGCTCTTCTCCAGTGGCTCAGTGGTGCTCCTCCGTGTTGGCATCCTTGACGGCACACACAGCTGTTTTGGTCCTCAGGGGTGCCTTTTGTTCCTTTCTGATGGAGGACTTCTGTAGCAGAGCCATGGCTCTGTATGGCTGGGGCTGGGGCGGAGAGGCACTGTGATGCATCTCCAAGATGTTTCTGGAGGGAAACTTGGCTCGGAAAGTCACCACAAGTCCCTGGTGCCTTTGTTTCCTCATTGCTCTGGCGTTCTTGTTGTGCAGGCTGGCACGGGGTGGACTGCTCCATCAGCTGCCCCAGTGGCACCTGGGGCTATGGCTGTAACTTAACATGCCAGTGTCTCAACGGGGGAGCCTGCAACACCCTGGATGGGACCTGCACGTGTGCACCTGGATGGCACGGGGAGAAATGTGAACTCCCCTGTCAGGTATGCCAGCTCTGCCTGGGAACTCCTGGGAGGAGCCGATGCCAAAGGGTTGGCTTCTATCTGCAGTTTTCCTGATTTAAATTGGCTGAATGTGAACCGACCTTCAGTAATTATTAGAAGAATCAAAGTGTTTGCATTCAAATTGGACACTGGATTGGGAAAAGATAGGAAAGACAATTGGTTAGGTAGGCTTTATGAGAATTCTTTCTTCTTTTCTCTTATCTGCACCCTGTTTTCCCACTCTTACACAAAGAATTTTCTCTGTTTCTTAAAACACTCATCTCTTGGTGGCAGCCAGTTAGCAACACTGGTCAAACACCCAGTGTATGCTTGTCATTCTCCAAATATTTTGTTTGCATTATAATGGAAATCCCTTAGCCTTTGGGATGAGAAGTGACAGGGGGGCTGAAAGGGGGTGGTGACTGGTGTCACAGAAATGCTCATTGAAGTGATGAAAGAAGGCTTGGAAAAGGCATGGTTTAATGTAAATATCTCTGTAGTTGCAAGAATCTCCTGAGATTTTCCAAGTTCAACACTCACCCACTTCATTCCCTTGACCTACTTTGAAGATGTGCATCATTAGAAATTATATCCACCCCGGCTGACAGAGGGTGCAGATGGGAAGTGTTTTCTGTAGTAACCTGCCCGATTTCTTTCTTTCCAAAGCACTTGGCTGGTTCCTCTCCCTGGCTTCCATCACTCTTTCTTCCTGTCACAATTCTTTTCTCCTGAGCCATTAAGCATTCTCTCTGTGGTGTGTGTTCTCTGCCTCCAGGACATCATCAGATGGCAAGATAACAATGTGACCCCTTGAACTGGGCCCCTTGAGAAGGGACTTCCACGGAGGAGGCTCTTCCCTCTCTGGGCTTCCTCCTCATTAAGTCCAACCCACTTCCCAAAGTAGAGAGGATTCCCAGCCTGGGCTTTTCCGTGCCCTACAAAGCCCCAGGACAGAGTTAAGTTAGCTTTGCTGATTCTCAGAACAATAAACAAATAATCAGTACTTGAAACAGGCTGGAAGGTCACCCATGTGGGCTTGTGGATGAAGCAAAGCCCCAGGCACAACCTTGTCTTTTTTTTTTTTTTTTGTATGTTAGATGCATTAGTAAATTAGAGAAGGCTGATAGTTTAGGGGTTCATAACATGGTAGAGCTAAATCCTAAAAAAGGGTTTAGTTTGTTAGTTTAACCAGTTCTAAATAAATGACTATGCCATCTAACACCCACTGACTGTTCTCATGTTCCCCTCTGGTGACAGTGTGTGCCCTCTGTTTTCCTTAGTGCCTGTGTGGTATGGGGAGGTTTGTAGCATCTTCCCTCAGTTCCCAGGTATAGAAGTGAAAGAGCAAGGTTTTCCCTGCAAATGCAAAGCTTTCCATTTTTTCCCCCATAAATGAAATGATCATGTCCACCAAGAGTCTCATCTCTGATGGGTTTCCCACACCGACACACATTTACAAACCCACCTAACTGCAATGGGAAGAGGAGGAAGGTGTGCCATCACGTCCTTAGGACTTTAAATTAGAATATTTCATGTGGTGTTGACTTTTTATTGGAAAAGAGGATATTAGACAAAAGTAACAAAAGATTTTTATTTTTCTATACCATGCATCTCATTGACAACTTAGAGAAATAAATGTAATGCAATTAGAACTATAGTTATTTTTAATGTTATAGCTTATTTATGTGGGCCAGAGTTCTCCTTTTCTGCTTAAGAAAGGAATGCATTGTAGGGAACACTGAACTATGTTATAAAAATCTTTTTAGGAACAAAGAAAATATTTTTATGAGTTGTGGCTTATGATTTTTTAAAAATTAACCAGCATATTTACATATATTGCACACATGCCCACCAGCATATTGGTAAACTTGGTTTTACCATTCATCTGTCCCAACCGTGATGTCAGTTATCAACCAGAATTTGAAAGATTTTTGAACACTGATGTTCTGGAGCCTACATTCTGGGAACCAAGTAGATCTGGGACTAGGTGATCGTAATGTGCACTCCTGAGAGGTGTTAGGGGAATGGGGTACTGTATACAAAATGTCTGGCCGTGGCCCTTTTGCCTCTAGGTTCTCATTGCTGTCTTTGGTGCCTTCTTCCTTGCAGGATGGTACGTATGGGCTCAACTGTGCTGAGCGCTGTGACTGCAGCCATGCAGATGGCTGCCACCCCACCACGGGACATTGCCGTTGCCTCCCTGGATGGTCAGGTGAGAGCCCAGAGTCCTTACTTTGAAGGGGAAACCTGCCAACTAATGACCTATTCTATTCCTTACTCTTTCAGAGAAATACACAAGTCGACTTTTCAGATAATATAGTAAAATCTTCAATAAGCCAACACATTTGTACTCATAAAATATAATCACTAGGTGTAATTAATCTGCAGCCCCACCCTCGTGCCGTTTTTTTTTTGTTGTTGTTGTTGCTTTGTGCAGGGTCAGTTTTCTTGATCATACATGTAGGTTCCAATTGCTGGAATTTAGGCAACAAGATGGGAGAATGTGAGTTGCTATGAAGAGCTCAGAAGGAACTCTAATGGTATAATTGGGCTTTGAGAGGAAGAAAAGTTGAAATAAACCCTAAGAATATAACTAGGTCAACCTAGTGAGATGAAAATATTAATATTAATAAGGTTACTAGGCAAATACTTAAGTATTCTTTCCTAGAAATAAAAGTCTTAAAAACTTTCTTTTTTTCACAATTATGTTGGAATAGTGACAAATTTATGATATGGTTGAGTACAAATTTTCTAACCACAGCATGGGGATTTCTCTTTATTTATGTGGCTTCCTGATTTTAGCTAGGAAGTTTATCAAGCTAACAGTAGTCCCAGAAGAAGGATGATGATTTTGCTCATGATCTACAGACTTGTTTGTACATTTAGTGCCATCTTCTGAGTCTGTAAATCATGAGCAAAAAACACCGTTCTTCTTCCAGGACCACTTTATATTCCCACCAGCAATGAATGAGGGGTCCAGCTTTTCCACAACCTTACCACATCTGTCTTTTCTATTACAGCCATGTTGGCGGGGGTGCAGGGGTGTCTCATTGTGGATTACTTCTGTGTTTCCCTGATGGCTCATGTTGAGGATCTTTCCATGCATTTATTAGCCATCTGGATATCTTCTTTGTAAAAATATTTATTTACATCATTTGCTCATTTTTAATTTTTTTTATTATTGAGTTGAAACAATTCTTTGTATATTTTAGATTAATATTCTTTATTATTTATGATTTGCAAGTGTTTTCTCTTGTGAGGGTGTGTGTGCTTTTACTTTCTCAATGGTGTCCTTTGTATCGGAAAATTTTTAATCTGAGAAAATACATTTTCTCTCTTTTGTAAATTTTGTTGCTTATGCTTTGGTGTCGAATTTAAGAAATCATTGCCTAATCCAAGGTCAAAAAGGTTTGTGACTTTCTTGTAAAAATTTTGTAGGTGTAGCTTTAGGTTCATTTTGAGTTAGGTTTTTTTTTTTTTTTGATGTGATATGCTGAGGGGATCAAACTTTATTCTTCTACATGTGACTATCCAGTTGTCCAAGCACCATTTGTGGAAAAGGCAAATTCTTTCCTCATTGAATCTTCTTGACATCCTTTGTCAAAAATCCCATAAAAAGCACATGAATGTAAGAAGGGTTTTTCTGGATTCTCTATTCTATCCCATTGGTCTATATACTCATCCTTATGCCAGTACCACACTGTTTTGATTACTATAGCTCTTTAGGAAGTTTTAAAATTGAGAAATGTGAGTCCTCTTTTTTTGGGGGGGCAGGTACCTGGGATTGAATTCAGGGGCACTCAACCACTGAGCCACATCCCCAGCCCTATTTTGTATTTTATTTAGAGACAGAGTCTCACAGAGTTGCTTAGTGCCTCTCTTTTGCTGAGGCTGGCTTTGAACTCACAATCCTCCTGCCTCAGCCTCTTAAGCTGCTGGGATTATAGGTGTGTGCCATTGTGCCCGGCCCTATAGCTTCTTTTTTTTTTTTTTTTGATGTTGTTGTTGTTTTTCAGGATTGTTTTGATTCCTTTGAATTTCCATATGAATTTTTGGATCAACATATCAATTTTTACAAAGGATCAAGGTGGAAATTTAGTGGGGATTCAATCTATAGATCAATTTGGGGAGTATTGCAAACTTGGCATATTCAGACTTCAGATACATAAGCAAGGGATATTACAGGCAATCTTTTCAGGGTTATCTGTCAGATCCTTAGGATTTGTTGAGAGTTTCTTTACTTTGTGATAGGAGTAAACTGAGCTGAATTGTCATGAGCTTGATTTCTAGTGTCTGAGAGCCACCTTGGGAAAGAGGCCAAGGCTGGTGCCGTGAACTTCATTTTCTGTTGGTAGACCATAGACAGAAGACTTCCTGACCTCATGGTTCCTTCTTGACTTGCAAAACTCTGACTTTACAATATGAAAATTCTACCTTTCAGTTTCTGTTGACTGTCTATTTACCCCATGTTGAAACTGAATCACACCAGGGATTAAACTGGATTTTGTTACCTGGGTTCTTGAAGTTCTCAAATGGACTGACTGGTACTAATTTCTCAATGACCACCGTTAAGCAAAACAACATTTTGAACTTTCTGGTCATCACCATTCAGAAGTTTTCTAACTGAGAGGCCGCATCATTTGTTTTGGGTCATATGCTACCAAATCCAATTTTGTCTTATGAATATATAGAAGTGTAAGGTATCCTGGAATACCTCATCAGTACTCAGGTGTCCACCTGCTTTGCTTTAGACTGAGCCTGTGAAAGGTATACACTAGTAGACATGGGAAAAGCAAGAGATGATTTGGCCTGAAGCCAGGCGGAAAATGTGTTGGTTGCATTCCACAGTCTGGGTCATGGGGTAAGACAAATGATCGCATCTGGCCTTAGACCTATCAAGCTCCTGCGGGAATGCAGTGGCTTTGTCACACAACGTAATCTTGTAATCCTCTGTCCATCTGTGACTGGCTTGCTTCTCTAAAAGGCACAGGGCTCTATCTCTTATTGCCCACTGTGTCTTTGCTTCATGGCCTGTGTGTCTTTATTGTTCCTAGGTCAGCTCAGTTGTCCCAGTGCCTCATTTCTTTGGGACCTCTGTGTGGGCTGTTGATGTGCAAACATCTGTCAGTATCTAAGCCTGCATGAGTTTGTCTGCCACACTCACAGAACCCAGTTGGTACAAGCAAACATATGTAGAGGACAATAAAATTCCAAAGCTTCAGAAACACCACTGGACCAAGATTTGGCTTATTTTTCTAAGAGGAAAGAGCAGCTTGTGTGTATTATTTACACAAGACATCATTTTGTTGTCGACACTGGACAGACTCATGACCTTTTGTTGATAAACTTGTCTTCAGTCTTTTCCTTGTTAGGACCTTTGTCAATATAGAGAAGGCTTCACTTTTCATCTAGGCACCAGATGGGGCCACACTGTGAACAGAAGCCCAAGGAAGCAAGTAATTCTACTTCCTCTCCTCTGGCTGCCAAGATGGCTCTAGGTGACACATTGAGCATCGCCAGAGAGGGTGGCAGTGTGTGGTATAGCAGCGAGGCCTCTTGAAAAAGTCAGTGAAATTAGCACAGGAGCCTGAGCTCTACCACTGGCCATGTGCAGATGGTGTGAAGTGCTTGTTTCATGATCAGCTGGTTTGGAGCCATGGTAAGGGTGAGAGAAATCAACAGGCCTGTGTGGTCATCACCACTCATAGCTTCATCCTGTCATCAACTGGATGTTTTTCTCCTCAAGGACAGTGACCATAGGCTTTTATTTATTTTTTTTAAGTTTCTTTTATTTCACTATAATTGATAGTCCCTACTCACAAAAAGTCTTCAAAATGTGCTATTATGAAAATAACCAAAACAACAGCTGCATGATACCCCAGCAACTGTTTCCAGAAGAAGATCACCAATTTTTTTGAAAATAAGGATGTGCACTTTTATGATATATGGTTATTTGAAGCCCGAATTTATTAACATTTTTAGCTATTGGGCTATTTTTTTTTACTGATTTTTAGTTTTTGTACTGAGGATTGGACCCAGTGGTGCTTTACCACTGAGATATATCCCCAGTCTTTTTTTTTTTATATTTCATTTAAAACAGGGTCTCACTAAGTTTCTGAGGCCTCACTAAGTCGCACAGACTGGCCTTGAACTTGTGATCCTCTGCCTCAGCCTCCTGAGCCACTGGGATTACAGGCCTGTGCCCCTGCTCTTGGCCCCAACAGACTATTTTTGTCTCTTTTTTTAAAGAGGCAGACTGCAGTAGAAAAACAGGGGAAAAGGAAATAATGTCAAGGACATAGGCTATGTCCTGAAATCCTCCTATACCATTGCTACCCACACACACACATTCCACATGCACACATACACATAACATACCCATGTGTAAGCACACATACATACACACTGCTATAAAATGAGACTGGCTTTTCCAAAGTCATTCTGAAATTCTACTTGTCAATATTAGTTTTATATAGATAGATATATAAATGCATATGTGTATTCCTAAAGTAATGGATTGATATGCTCTATAAAGTATTTCCTGAAAGTGATAGAAATACATTCAGTCAGACAGAACACCTATTTGCTGAGTATTACAGCTAATCACGATTTCATTCCAGCTGTCTGGGGACACGTGTAATCTGTAGCCTGGTCTCCAGTTCTGGCTAAGATCACCATCACCTGGGAACTCTTTTCACCTGCATATTCTCAGTCACCACCTCACACCAACTGAGTGAGAATTTGTGGGGTGGGAGAGAGGAGGAGATAAAAGGGGAGGAGGATGGAGCCCCTACAGGTACAATTTTGTACAAATTTGGAAACAACTTGGAAATCCCTCAGGATGTACTCTTTAGCATAGGGGATGAGGGCTGGATGTCTGCCTGATTTAGCTCCTTGGCTGGGTTCTTCTGCTGCATACAACCTGCACATCCTTACTTGACAGCCCAGTCTGTCATGTTAAAAGTCACCCGGTAGCCTAGGCAGTACAGTTCCAAGTATGCAGAGTGGATTTGCTGCTCCTTGTTATTATAATTATTGAAGAACTTGGGGTGCAGGGGGCATTTCTTTGACACAAGCAAAACCAACGGTAAAGAGAAGGTTTCAGTATGCATTTACACTAGAATAAAAGTTGAATTCTGAACTGTCAGAAAAGAGGTCAGGACACCAAAGCGACCTCTTGGTCTCTTGGGAATGAGAGACTAGCAAGGCAGG